CGACTTTAATCTCATAATATTTCGACTTTATTCTCATAATATTATGACTCTTTCTTAGTTATGACTTTATTCTCGAAATATTACGAGTTTTTTCTCGTAATATTTCGTCTTTATTCTTGAAATATTACGACTTTAATCTCATAATATTTCGACTTTATTCTCGTAATATTATGACTTTTTCTCAGTTATGACTTTATTCTCGAAATATTATGAGTTTTTTCTCGTAAGATTTCGACTTTATTCTCGAAATCTCCGAATTCTTTTTTTCTTCAATGTGCCCCCCACTCTGTCGTACTAAAGCTTTTTTGTCATTGTCATTTTTAAAAAAAAATAGCTAAAAATAAAGTTTTTTTGGGAAAATACTTATTTGTCACATCTCTGTTAGTGGGTTTGTTGATAAAATGAAACCTTAGTGTTCAGAATTGAGTTTACACAGTTGTATCTCATTACATGTCATAAAAACTCACTCTTATTCAGTTATAAACCTCAGGGGTCCATTGCCATACCTGTTAATGTTGTGGATGTTCTGCAGGGTGTATGGATTCAAACAGGAGGCTCTAGGCCTGGATGGTGTATCATACATGTAGGAGGAATTGAAACCTGGTTCATTCCCCTGAAATGTAAAAAGTAAGAAAGAGACAAGGCAAGTAAGCAAATTAAGACGCAGGAGACAGTATCACTGTATAGAACAAAAATTGATCCAATAAGCAACATGTTTTACTATGAAACTTTGATTTCATATAAAATTATATTATCACAGGAGAAACTGTGGTACAGTGGTACCTAGTACATATTGTAGATTACAAATATAAGGTGGAGATTACAAAACGCAGCTTCATTTTAGTAAAATGGTTACAGTAAACATGACAGCTAAGACATTTGAATGTTCTAGTAATTTTGTTTCTGTATAATACATAATTATACATTATACAGAATATAATGACATCTCAATCTGCTGTAGTAAAATTTAAACCTGTGTGGTTTTAACAGGGAATTCATAATAACTTTGGTATTACTACCCAACACAAGCTACATTAGTCTAATCTTAGATAAGCCTGCTAAGATTAAAAAAGGAGTTATGCTTTACACCTCTGCAACAAGCTGTTTGTGTTTCCACGTAATGTAGTAATTGATTATATTGTTAGAAACCTTTTGCACTTCTTTGCAGCAGACGTTTACAACTTCAGTCAGTCAATTGACATACAGCTGTTACCGTGATGTAATGTCAGATAAAGTACAGTTACCATACTACAGCTGAAATATAAGACACCTAAAAAATAAAAAGTCTAAATAAACTATTCTTTGAAATGGAAGGCTACACTGTGTGATAAATGGGATATCTTTAAGTCTTTTGTCCATAACATGCAAAGAGCACAATCGTATGTTTTCTCCTTTGTTCCAGGGAGAGCCCTGAGTCCACTTTTGAGGTGTATCTGGAAGTAGTCCACCCAGGCACACACAGCTCTGGTAAGTATCTGCAGGCTGGAGGAACAGCTGATCCTGGATTACATGTATGTTTCCTTTTACACTGATCCTAAGAAGTACAGTCAGCCATCAAGGCTTCATTTATGAGAGCATGTTGCATCTCAACTTTCAGATTTAGGGTAGAAGAATAGGAAAATTGACAACAATGTCAGTTGACATGACACATGAATGACTGATGAATATTTTCTGTTAACCTGAAATTTTAATGTGCTTCCATTGCAGTGTGTCTCAGTTGCTTATGCACATTTTTCTAAAACACTGTTGGGGTTCACAAAACACTGAGAGCAATCACACATGACTTTTTACTGAGCAGCACAACACTTCAATTCCCCTGCAAAACGCGCTCTCGCACTCAAAACGTGCGTGTCAGAAGTCAGTAACTTAGTTAATGAGCTCATCACTGCCACCAAAAAGACATGTCCCTTTTGTCATTGTTAAATCAAGTCAGTCAGATG